GAGCTCTTTACCAACTTTAGCTCATTCTCCAAATAACCTCATGAATGGAGTATGGTTAAATAAATAAACATCCATAATGTATTAAATTACGATAAGGACAGAAGAGAGAAGTTAAATATCTTGGCAAGGTCACCTGGTGGGACTGATATTCTATCTCACCCAGGAAAATCTTTGTAATCCAGAAATTTACTTCTTGAATTGTCTATTGTTCATTTAACTTGGCAGAAAAAAAGAACAAGAGAATTTACCTGAAAGCAGGCAGCTGTTTATTTCTAACTCCTAAGTAGCCACAATAGTGAGAAAATTTTACCTAAGTAAAAACCAAATATATTTCTAAAGCAGAAACCAAATATATCCCAGGAATGTAGAGTGCTCCATGGTTCTGAAAAGCTTAAAAACAGAAATCCTAGAGGATGGTAAGACCCAAACATGAGCATATCTCAACCAAAATATTAATAATAATGGTAAATCTCATATATGAAAAGAGAATAAATCTAATATCACCACATTCTGTTTCTTCAACTAGGGCAATTGGTTAAGCTCTATAACTTTGCATGATTTGAAAAAAGTTTCTTTATGGCAATCAATTCTTACTTGGAACAGCTTAAGAAGACAAAGCAAGACATTCAGGAAGTTAGTGGTTTGGACAACAAAGCAATGGCAGGAATAATGTAATTAAATGTCAACTCCTGCTATGGTGGAGCACGGTAAGGGTACCTATTTTCATAAGCTTGTAGGAGGCTAGATTATTTTTTTTTCCGGATTTGGTAGGTTTTGTTTTAATAAAAAGGGGGAAGCTGTTTTGAACAGCCTGAAGGAAAGGGTTGAGAAATAGTTTTCAGGTCTCCAGAGCAGGAGTCGTCAAACACAGTCATAATGCGAATGGAAGAAAGCAAAGCGAAAGGAGGAGATGGGGAAACACGTGAAACTCTCCACAGACTGCAATTCTGTCCAATTATTGTAACCTGGAAGGGAAATCTTCCCAGACATGCGGTGGGAAAGGAAGATTTTTAGAATAAATAGCCACCAAGCTCAAAGCGCAGCACTATTTGTCGTGTCACTGCACAACCTTTGCTCCAACTCCACACTAGAAGCCACTCACTTTGTCTCATAACAAAGCTCCTACTGAGTTCCTTGCACATAGTAGGGATGTAGCGGGAACTTGGTTGATAAGCTGATTTGTGTTTTTTGAACTTAGGCAACCAAGGCGTGTCTTATACAGGGATGTCCAGGAAATCTACAAAGAAGATCCAATCGATACAGTACAGGAACCTTAAGAAAAACAACAGCAGGACAACGACGAGGACACCATGCTCTGATGCCGGAACTGTTTTCCAGCCCATTTTAGGGTTATGGTATCAAAGAGCAGTTTGCTTACCAGAAATTTAAACGAGAACACGTGGCAAGCAGCTCTCTCCCGGCTCTTCCTAAGGGCCCAAACACCTGTGCCTGGGCCACAGTCACACCTTCTAGGGCTGGAGGGAGAAATGGGATTTGGTGGTGGCTAGTTTTTGTAAGATTACTGTATGATAATGACAGGAAGGGAGAGTGCGTGTGCCTTCTAATTCCATGCTCTCTCTGCCCAGACAACACAAAGCTTTTCCACTAGTCTTGAAAGGACTAGCTCCACAGGTAAGAATTTTGCTTCCAGGCACTGTGCTAGACAGACAAGACAGAGTTGAAATAGATATTTTGACCTCAAGGAACTTACTTAATTCTCATGCTGGTCAATTAGGACCTCAAAGAAATAGTCAGAACCTTCTTATAGAGGCATCCTCCAAGTCCCAGCTCACCTGGGGTCGGTCCCACCATGAGCTTTGATTCTCTGACATATTCCTCTCTAGGTTCATGTACAAATGAAATCAGAGGCACCCATTATTAAATTCTAGCAAATGCCAGCTAAGAAAGTGCTATACCCTAACACTATACCAAATCAAAATCTTGCTTTAAAGATGATGACATTTCAAGACCTATGAAACCAGTTTGTGTTGAATAAGTCAATTTCTGACTTATTCATCTTCCTGATTTCCATCCCCCTCTTCTTTACTAGACAGTATTAATAAAGAAAAACCAGATGAAGTCACATTAATTGATTTATTGGTTTTTATAGAAGTATGCTTTATTTAAATGAGGTCTGTGAATTCCTGTGGGTGTCATATGTCATTTTTATGCCTCATTTCTATCACTGAGGTAAATAGAATCTGATAGTATTTATAATTCTCAGGCCCTGATAACTCCTTGATCCAACTGGATTTTATTTAAATCATGGAGGGCTTTTCTTTGTGCAAGGCACTGCAGGGAATACATAGGACAGGGAGAGAAAGTTCTGATCTCAAGGAGCCAACACATTCTCAACAGGCAGGTTTTTTACAAAGTCTATATTTTCTATAAGACTTTAATGTGAAGGGCCTGTTATTTGCAAATATCACCAATTTGTAAGCAAGCTGTTTTTCATAATTCCTAGCTGTTGTGCTTTTAATTACACAAGGTAAATTGGCAAATTATAGGTGTTATACTTTTAAGTCATTGCAGAAAAGTGCTAATAAAGACATCTACAGAGATAAGCCCCATCTCACATACTACACAAAATTAAAAAGCAATCTTAGTAATAGTTAATACAGGGAAGGGAGACAGTGAGAGTTGGTTAATGGTCACAAAATTACAGCTAAATAGGAAAAATAAGTTCTGCTGGTGTACAGTAGTGCCACTCATCTATAATTAACAATAATTTGTTATATGTTGCCAAATAGCTAAAAGAGAGGAGCTTATGTGCTCTCATCACAAAGAAACAATAAATTTTTGCAATAATGAATTTACCAACTACCCTGATTTGATCACTACATATTGTATATATGTGTTGAAATATAACTCTGTACCCCATAAATATGTACAATCAATATGCTTCAACTTAAAAAATAGTTAATACAATAAAATAAGAGCTAATACAAGGTGTTTGCTCTATGCCAATAATATATACATATATATTCTAATCATATATATGAAGGTACTTCAAAAAGTTCACGGAATGATTCATATTATCTTTTAATTCTATTTTTCCACAAACTTTTTGAAGTACCCTCATATATATATTCTAATCATATATATATGTGTGTATATATAAACACACACACACACACATTCTGAAGTCTCGCAGCAACTCTATGAGAGAGGTACTGTTGTTATCCCAGTTTTCACAGATGGGAATATAGACATGGAGGGAGTAGGCAGAGAAAGAGGAATGGTTGGGGGGCTAATGGTGGGGGTGGGATAGTTCAATGTGCTCTAAGAATTTGGGAAAGAGAAAAATCTCTCATAGTACATAATTAGTGAACTGAGTCTAATCAAAGTCTAACAGGAAAATAAGAAATTCTAATGATACTAAAGTAAATTAGGTCACTGAGCATATAGCAAGCACAGAAAATATTCACACAAAGACAGGTTTAAGTTACCATGCATACACAAATTAGAGTCAACCTTTTCAGGGAAGATTCAAAGGATTTTTAAGACGCAGCAGAAACATCCCTAATATTTGTCAGAAAAATAAAAATAGCAATGTAGAAAAGACAATACAGAAAAGTTAGCAATGTGTTTAATAAACCATGAGAAATATGGTTTTTTGGTGTATTTATGATATAAACCATGAAATTAGAATGTATCATTTAAATATAATATTTTATTTAAATATCATTAAGCTGTTTCTAACCTTCAGGAGTATAGTCTCAGTTTTTATCTCAGCGTGTGGAGTCATGTACATCTGTGCAAATCTTACTATCAAAAATAAGTTAGAAAATTTATAAATCATGACATATTTTTCTAATACAGGCAGGAAAGTAAAAGTTATATTGGGGTCTAAAATGGTCATTTTTGTTTCCCATGTAATAAAATTTCTGAATAAAAACTATTTCAAAATTTAAAGAAAAACCCCCTTAATGAAAAGTACACGTAGCACACTGTCACAGAAATTATAAAACAGTAGAATATTATAAATCATGCATCTTAGAGCACGTGTTCTAGAGTTCAACTGCCTGGTTTGAATCATGGTTCAATCAGCCTACTAGTTTAGTCCAAGTTCCCTTGGACACATTACTTGACCTCTTTCCTCTATTTTAAAAAAGGAACTACCATGACAAACTACTACATAAGGGTGTGGTAAGAATAAAATAAAATAATAAAATAACATTTGCAGTGCTCTGCTTGGCACATGGTAGGGGCCCAGCACATGTTAGCTATTATTTTCATCATATTAGACAGAACTAGAAAATCAATTTCCTGAAGAGTCCTAAGTCCACCACAAAAAAAGTGATGCACATCTGAGCAGCTATTTGGGTAACTTGTATACTGTTATTTCTGATTTGGTATCCCTGGGGTTTTCCCAATCCGAAGAACTAAGCCTAGGGAAATTATAAAAAGCAATAGCCCATAGTTTAAAAACAACGACAGCAACAAAAACTAATCTGTTAATGCCGAAGCACTCATCTGCAACCAGACCAGCCACATCCGGGTATCAGAGCCATGCTCCTAGAACATTTTTGAAAAACCTTGCATCATGTAATTTCTTTATAAAGGTTTATTAGGTGAACCTAGTGAAGACTGTAGTTAACAGAGCACATTTAAAAGGCCCAGAGAAAATCATCTGGCAAATACTTTGGTTGGACAATAATCAAGTCAAGCTTTTAATTTTCTATCCTTACACCCCTCTTCCACTTTTCCTCTTCTTGACTTCAATTTTATGATGTACAGTGGATGGAGTTTATAGTTCTAAATCCTATGCCCTGAGCTATTTAGAAACAAGACACTGTGCAGCACTAATGAAGTAATGAAATGCCTCTTTTGCCAAGGTGGCACATAAACTATTTAATCCTGAATGATGTCGTCAAATACTTCTATCAGTACATCTCACTTTCAAAAGCCATGTAGGAAATTTATGTCTCTTACTTTAGAACATTAAATTATATAGATTTCCCGTGAGCTAGAAACATGTAGAGGAGATGAGTACTTACTTTTGCTCAACAAAGAAAGGATCAAAGAATTCCTTTGTGATTTTGTTTGCATACAGGGAACAGCCAGTCATTGAACACAGCCCTAAAAAGCATCAGAGGGAAAGTACTATGGTTAGTGATATTTCGTTAACATCATGAAGCACCCTGTATGGAAGAAAGTTACTATTTACCTGACAGTATGAATACAATCCCAGCCAAACAGGCAATTTTAGCTTTGGCTTTATCTGAGCCTCCGACTTTGGTACACTTCATTCCAAAGAGTGCAAATATGGAACCAAAAAAGCCCAGGCTGACAGCAGCAATCATAAGTCCTCTGCATGCCTGGATATAACCTGCAATTAGAGTAGTCATTTATGTTAACATAAAACATGTGGCTGTCTAGGGAGAGAGCCTCATTTTACATTGTCATTCTGGATGATTGTTCTGTTTTCCCAAAAAATAACCACGATGGTTAAAACATGCAGCAAGACAAGCAAGAAAGGAAAGCAAGATAATCTATATGGAGTGACACGCACTTTTAAGCTTTGCTTATGTATAATCTTCAGGATAGATCTCTGAGGGTTATTATTCCTATATTCACTGATGAGGAAACTGAGGCACACAGTTACATGATATGCCAGAGGTGAGTAAGGAAATGGCAGAAATGGAGTCCACCCCAGATCAGACCACAAAATCTGTGTAACACTGCCTTTCACTGTGAGAAACACCATCTGCCACTACCACCATCCCCTAACTCCTTCGCACGTCGAATCTTTTAAATAAATGTTTTAATTGTTGTGACATTATAAAATTTATAGTTGGGCAGCTCCCGAAGGGCCAAACCTTCCAATATTAGTGAATGCTTATAAATGAAACTAACTGGAATATCATCATGAACCATGAGGAGTCTAAGTCAAGAAGTATTTTAGTGACAATGCATTATTTTCGGGGCACATATACTAAAGTTGGGTTTAAAAAAGCATTGTTTTGTAGAAGAGTAATTTATAATTATTCAATCAATTATCTGCATACAAATGAATGCCTCCTAAGTCCCTTAAAACTGTGTTCTGTTCATTTGTTTGATCATCCCTCCTGCACCATTCCTAGTCTTTACTTTGCTTTTGTTTCTGGTGGCTGGCCAGTACAGGGATCTGAACCCATGAACTTGGTGTTACAAGGTTGTGCTCTAACCAACTGAGCTAACCAGCCAGCCCACCGTTCCTATTCTTAGTCACATCACCGGCCAAGGTGATGGTAAACTTCAATGTGGTTTTTGTCCAGGCACTGACGTTTTAGATTAATAGGGTCTAAAGTAATAAACTTTTATCACATAAGTCATTTTCATTTCAGTCTGAAACAGTGCCACATTTCAATCTGAAATAGTGACAGCAGCACATACCATACTAGATGTAAGTAAATATTTGTTAAGCCAAAGAACATAAACAGACATCAGGCTTACATTTGGAATTAAGCTGTTTAATTGGAAAAAACTTATTTGCCAAGATATAGCAAGTCATTTGTTATTTGTGTTCAGGCAAAGCCTACAATAAATAATAATTCTAAGACCACGATAATCATAAATTCAGGGAGTAAACGCTGGTGGCCTCCAGTCCATGTTTCTTTGGGAAAGAATAAAAATTTAAAGTTTTAATCCTATTTCTAGGATCCATTTAGAAGAGCAAATGGGAGTGGATCTACTTAATTGTAACACACTTTAGACCCCTACGAATGCAGACTGAAGTGATAATGACCTTCTGTTGTACAGTGTGAACTACATCCACACAAAAATTAATTTCACTAACACTGTGGCTATCAAAAACAGCAAAAGAAATGTATTCTTAGCACAACAGGATAATGGAGGTTCCTTTGGATAGCAAAGCTCTTTGGGTCTCTGTTGCCAAATACTGAACCAACTCTATTTTGAAAGTCAACCCTCAAGTCACCCAGAGAGAGTCCAGGGAGCAGCAAGACAGAGAGAGGAAGCCTGTCAGTCCCTTGCAAGATTAAAACGAATCTTTGAGGCTAACCAAACTGGCTCATCACATACCACCAGAGATACTGGGACAGTGTGGTTTCATTATTTTTGTAAAATTCATTTAATTTATGGTTTTGAGGTGTTTTAGCTGACTCTGACTGCAGTCATTAAACAAACAAAAAATGGGGGGAGGACAGCCTTATATATATTCCTAGGAAATTTTAGCATGCACCATAATTTGCATTTACTTATCTTATGGGCTTAATTAACAGAAAATGCACATTGTCTGGAATTTACCAAAGATTAGGTTCTACAATCTGGTCATTTATAGCACGGAATAGAATGTACTTCCCAGATGGTAAACAGTGGTTAGACTCCCAGTCAAACTCAATCTTTAATGAGACAGGGAAAAATAGTACTTGTCTTTAAATATATAAACACTACTCGTAACATATTTTTCTGAGTTTCTCACTCAGAGGTCTCCTGTGTCAGTCCTCGTACTGGCAGCAGGATTTGCTTTGGTCTCTTTGCACAAGCACAAGAAGAGAGATGAAGAGAGCAGATTCTGATTTGGTCAGGTCCTTCTTTTATGCCAACCAGAAACCTGATTTGGAAGGTAAGGGACTTCTCTCCTGCATGAGAACAGTAGCAGTAACTTGCTAACTTTTCCCATGCACAAAGTAAGGCACCTCACAGGGACTATCAGTGGCCAGATTTTCTGAAATGGGGAGCAGAGAGCAGGGGATAAACTCCCCTGCCATCCATGAAAGTAATCTAGTTGTTGGTAAGCCTGAGATTTGTCAATTAGCGCCTACCAATACTTAAAACACCCATGGACTCAGAACTTAGGTGACGTCCAAGGAATTCTTTCGGAGTTTATCTTTTGCAAGGCAGACCTCTACAACTTTGGTTTTTAACAGTTCCTGAGGGCAAAACTTATAAGTAACCATCAAGTGAAATGGAAGTAAAAACCTGGTCAAGGAGGCCATTATTTTTGACAGGTCTAATTTACTGACATCGTTAATAGCTAATTAACACATTAAAGTGCTGAGGCATGAACATATTTACTTAGAAGTTCTCTGAAGTAGAATTTATAGTTAGTTCTCCTGGAGAAGTGGCAAACATTTCCACTAACAAAAATAGATGGTATATACTAAAAACAACCCAGCTGAAAGTGCTTCTCAGCTGAAGTTCAAGTGGTGCTTTGAAAGGAATATAGTTAGCAATAAACAGAAATCGCTAGCTCATTCAGCTGTGAAATTTGCAAATAGTAAAATACAGTGACTTTAAATTAATGAAATCTGTTGGAAGAAACCTTCAAGGTATCCCTTAAAAGGTGTTTTACAAATGATATGTACCTATCTTCAATTGCAAACCAGCAAAAATGAAAATATCCACTTGGTGGAGACAATTCACTAGCAACACCTGTGCTAGTTGCTGGATTAAAGAGGAAAAAAGAATGTGCTTTCCTTATACTAGCAGCTTTGTGTACTTTTGCAAATCTTTTGAAATAAGAGTGGTGTGGGGGAAGACAGGAACTTTGAGTTTCAGCTCTGGCGCCTCTATTTACCTGTGGTAGGCCCTCGATTACCGTACCTAATTGAGTCTCAGTTTCCTCATCTGTAAAATAGGGATAGCAGCACCTAATTCACAGGATGAATAACATGAACCAAGTGTCTGGTGAGTAGTAAGAAACTCATCAAAACATCCCTTCCATTATACTAAGATTATGCTAAACAGAAATTAGAGTTGGAGTTTTAACATGATGTAACATTAAATCTAGACATTTAACTTTGCTAGGCTTCATTTTCCTTACAGGGAAAACTGGAGTGGCAGTGACACACCCTGAGGGTGAGGAATCAGAGCTCTGAAATCTTAAAGGAAATGCAGAATAATGACCCCATCATCTGTGCCCAAGAGACCTATTCTTGCACCTAACACAAGATGGGCCTAGAGTACAGTGACTTTAAATTAATGAAATCTATTGAGAGTCTTCCCTCTCCCTTCTTGAATTCTCTTCCCAGCCTGGTTTAAGGGGAAGCATTGGTCTGCTCAGGCCACGGCCACTTCCTCCCACCACTTCAAAGGCAGTGTCAGGACTAGCACCCATCAGATGTCACTGCCCAGGAAATACATGGCAGAGAGTGGACAAGCAGAGGGGCCCTGGCCTGGAAAGTTTCACTTGCAGGTGGGGAATCAGCTCTCTTCCATATGAAAATTTAACTGTGTGATTTACCCTCCAAAATGTTCTCCTGGAAGATACAGGAAAGTAAGTTTATCATTTTGCAGTAGGAAATACCCTCTTGAGCCACAGAAGGCAAACTAATAAATTTGATTATATTACAAATTTCAAAGCTCTGTATGAGAAAATACATAACAAATTTAAAAGACAAGCGATGGTCTGAGATTGCAGCATATATAACAAATCAAGGATTGACAAGTCATTTAAACCAAAAAGAAACAACAGATATGGGCAAAAAAACAGGGACAGGCAATTCACAAAAGAGAAAAAAATGGTCAATAAATACACTAATAACAATGAAAAGTTGGAAAGGGTCCAATGTCCACACTAGGTAAATGGTTAAATAAACCAGTTTATTCAGACTAATGAATACTATGCAGCAGTTAGAAAAGAGTCACTTCTATATGCACTGACTTGGAAATACATGTTATTAACTTTAAAACATTGCAGAATAGGTTAGTGTGACATCATTTATGTTTCTAAAAGTCACTATCTAGTCACATAAGCACAAAGGAAGGCCATTTTGCAAATTGGGTGACTCCTCTCTGATCCATTCTCAACCACCTCTAGAACTTGATAACTGAGGACTGTCCTCCCTGCTCCTCAATACGGCACCTGCCCCCAAATCAGAACACCGCCTCCACCCTCACCTCAGAGACACAAGGGAAAACTTCATATTCTGCACTCAGCAATCTCCACGGACTTTTCTCTCTCTCCTCTCCCTTTTCCCCCATGGAGCATTTCTTTCTTTCTCCTCTCTCTGCCCCATAGAAGGAAGCGTACCTACCTGGCACGCTATCTCAGGTTAACAATAGTTATAAACAGAAGAAAACTTGTAGGACAGTAACTGTCAATCCCATATTCCTGAATGTAAACCACAGAAACAAGAGCCTGCCTGTTCGTCTACCTGTATGTGTGCTCTGCAAAGCAGTTCAGGAAATTCAGCGGTAATGCTAGGGAATAAACAGTGTCCCAGCTATTTATTTTACACAACAGGCCTGCAGACCCGGGTGCCACCCTTCTGAAACCAGACAGTACTCCCTTATACAGCGGTTCCATCAAATGCCACGTTGAGCAAGTTTGCTTTTCGTGGCAAGCTCCATCTTAGGGGAATCAAATCGTCTTTTATTTACCCAGCTATGCAAATAAAAACTCCAAGTGCAGTAATAAGAGAAAACACCTCTAATCTAGAAATAATGTCAATGACTCCTCTTAAGATTCTGCCGGGCTCTATCTAGTCATTTGCTTTAAAATCCTAGAAGAAAAGAGCTTAGAACTTGAGCCATCACTGTGACCAGGTTGACACGGACCGTTCTCTTGAAACTGAAGAGTCCGTTTTCTAGATGAATATCTGCCTGCTGCTAGGACGCAATGCAGCACACAGCCTGGCTAGCCGGAACCGTGCAGGTGACACGACAGGCTCGGATGCAGAACCTGCCGTCCCCGCCACGGGATTCTCAGGGCCCAGACTCCCTGCGCACTGCAGACCCTTCATCGCCGCACGGGCAAGGGCTGCTTATTGTCCTAAAACTCGGAGGAAATGTCAAAGCCTAGGCAGACAAATCTGTAGAAGCGTTTTACGTGAAACGACAGGAAAAAACCCTGTGATTTTTTTTCCTGCCTACTTTTAAAAGAACCAACGAAATGGCTAAAGGGAGTTCAAGGGCAAGCAGATTTGGCTTTCGACAATACCATTTTAATCAGAACCCAGCTTTTTGATGGGGGGGAGGGGGAGAGACGGGGGAGACAAGCCCCTGCGGCACGAGCTCTGTGTCCTAACACTTCCCGAGGGACAGGGGCGACAGCCGTGCCCGCAACTCCCAGGACCGCAAGGTCCCCACAGCCCACTCCCGAGGCCTGGGAGTCACCCCACCAGGCCTGCGTGTCCCCGCCCTCGGGGTCCACGCTCAGACCTGTGCCTGCACGGGACAGCCGTCCAGGGACGGCGGGCACCGGGGACCCTCCCGGGCTCTTTCAGGCCCTGTGGTACGGCCCGGGGTGGGGGGAGCTCCGCTGGGGGTCGCGGGGCCGAGAGGGCGCCCCCGCGGGCCGGCGGGCGAGGAGCGAGGGCCGGGGGCGGGGGCCGAGGGGATGCAGACCGTCCAGCGCCAGCATGGAGGGAAAGTCCTTGCAGTTGGAGACTCCGGTGGAGTCGGTAACGCACGTCTTCCACAGGTTGGCCCAAAAGGTGGCGGTGGTGATGACCGTGCCGTCGATGGAGGACACCTTCCAGTAGTCGGTGGGCAGCGTGGAGGACACCAGCACCCAGCCCGAGATGGAGACCATGAAGGCGATGATCTCCGACGCCGTGCTCGCCATGCCGCCCGCTGCACCCCGGCTGGCGCGCGCGCTCCCCCTGGGCGCCGAGACCCCCGCGCAC